GGAGCAGGCACTCAGGTGGGGACTGATAAAATGGCACTTGAGGAGGTTGCAAAGCTGTCGATGGCTCCCAACGGGCAGTAAAAATAAAAAAATAGGGGGGGCTGGTGGGTTTGGGGGTGGGGGCAGAACACGGCACTGCCGCGGTGTCCCCCTGCCACACACACCCTTACTGAATGCTGCTCGTCAGGGTGAGAGTCGCACCGAGAGAGGAGGAAAAAAATAAATCTCAGGGGGGCTTCAAGATGCCAGGCACAGGCAGGATGTCCGCGATGTGCCAGGCTGGCAAAGCTGCCAGCAGCGGGGATTTTAACAGGGAAACCCTTTATCCACAGCAGCACGGCCCAACCGGGGGCAGCCCTGGCGCAAAAAGCAAGCAGAGGACAGCGGCAGCGACACTGGCACCTGGCAACCAGAGCGCCCTGGCCGCAGCATTGCATCCCGGTGGCATCTCACTGGTGAGCCTCTGCATCTCCCCCAGAGCACCCAGCTATTCCCGAGACATCCAACGGGCACCAAGGGATTTTTGCTCCTGTATTATTCACATTTTAAAGGGGGAGTTAAAAAAAAAAAAGCAAAAAAAGCAAAAAAAAGCACTAGAAAGCACTTTTCCAGAGGCACTCGTCCCCAGCCCAAAAAAAGCAGCCTTGCTGGAAAAGTGCCCCTATTTAGTACCAAAAAAATAAAAGCAAGGGGTTTTTTTTTGTAACATATGGCTATGTCACTCTGAGTCCTGGCTTGTGAGTCAGGGATGCAGCGCCCAAAGGGCCGAGACAGAAGAAATCTAGGTAGGGGAGAGATGAGGGCACCCAGAGCACCAAAGGAAACGGGCTGCCAATGCTGTCCTCCACTGAATGCCAGCAGGTCCCGGGGGGAACTGAAAAAACCCTGCCCCGGGGCACAAGTGGGCACTAGGTTTTAGGAGCAACACTTTCCCCCTCCTTCTGAGAGGCTGCCCAAATTTACCAGGAGAAGGGGCAAAGTGGGTGATGCAGCTCTGGTCTGCCAAGCTGCCAGCAACAGGAGGTTTGGGGTAACAGGAGGGGGGTTTTTTTTTTTTGGAGGGGAGGGGAGGATGAGGCAGCAGAAGAGGCAAAGGGACGTTTTAAAAAGAAGCTGGGCAGAGATCACGCTGCCAGCGGGCGGAGGAGGAAGAAGAGGGCTGGATCCAGATGGGATGCTCCAGGCAGTGCGTGCTGGGACCAGTCACCCACAGAGGGGGAGAAGCCAGAGCTGCGCTCCCTGAAAAAAGGGGGGATAGGGGAGGGAGTCGGGGGACCCCGGCAGGGACTGCTGCCGCCTCTGCCTCGCCAGGACGGATCCTGTTAAGCCGAATGGGGTGTGCACAGGTCTGGGGAGTTGCTGCCTCTCCGTGGTTTCCACTCAGATGTCCATCTCGAACTGAGCATCGTCTCCTGGCAAGAGGTTAGGAGAGAAGAGTTAAAGGGGGAATGGGAGGGACAGTCCCCAACCCAAATCCTCCCCCACCGTGGGGGTGGGTCCCTTACCCATGGATGGCTTCCCCTCCTGGTGGTTCAGGCTGTTGGTGTCCACTTTGTGCTCCTCGCCGGCCGAGCCGGGGCTGGTGACGCCAGGAATATTGGGGAGGTGACAAGGCGGGGTCTGGGCCATGGGGGAGTTGCGGCGGTCCAGTTTGGTCATAGATGATCCGGGTGCCTGGAGGAGGATGAGAGTTTAATGGGGGGGGACCCAGCCTGGCAGTGCGTGTTTGCAGGAGTCTCCTGGTCAGACGGGCACCCTGGCCAAGGACCTCCACCGCAGCCCAAGGAGAGGCAGGGGGGGCCAGGGGGGTGCACGTCGCCACTCTGCCTGCTCTTATCTGGGCATGGCGGGCGATAATTAAGTGCTGGATAAACACCCCCAGCGGCACCTGGGTACCAGTGCTCGCTGCTGTCCCAGCGCAGAGGCCTGACAAACTCGTGGCAGGGGTAGGAACTCATCCC